AAATACCTCATTTCAAATGAAAAAATCCAAAAAATTCCAAGTCAAAAAAAGTCGGTATTTTCGGTATCGGTATATACCGAAGTTCGGTATTTTCGGTATTCGGTATACCGATACCGGTGCATACCTATCTGGGATAAAAGTTTGAACTCAATCGAACAGTTTCGGCAGGATCGGCACGGTATGAAATGCAAAACGTGGTTTTTAGATAACCATACCTCATAGTAAGTTCTAAGATCTGAGCAAAAAATATGTTATTATATTTCTTAGAAGATGCTGCGGTAAAAATTCTCGCTCCTTCTAATTAGTCGTTACAATTCTGTAACAAGACAAGAAATTAGTTTATAGAAAATCGATCGAAAAATCGCCGGGGATTTTCTAGTTTATAAAAATTCCTCGACGAATTTTCAACTTTCTAGAAAATGTTGATTTTCTACTTTGTAGAAAATAGACTTGAATTTCCATAAATTTGATTTTCTAGAAAGTGAAAATTCGCCCAGGAATTTCTAGACCAAATACTTATTCATCTGTTATTTTTGCAATCAGTGTAGGTATAAGAGCGTCACGTAAAGACACCCATATTACACTTAAATCACCTTTGACAGTTTCTACTTTAGATTACAATTCTGCCTATGCCAGCAAGGATTTTGATTTAGGCAGAGACAGTAGTGGCGCAAAGTTTCGGTAGGAAGGTCCCGAGACGCTCACCAAAAATTTCTCAAAAGCATGAGGGAGTGGGGTCAACCCCAAATACAACCTGGTCGCGCCGCCCCCCGGTGTAGACCCGTCAAGGAATTTGCAGTTTGTAGAAAATAAAAAAAGGAATTTCTACTTTCTTGGAAATTATTTATGGAAATTCAACAACGATTTTCTAGATTGTTGGAAATTCGATTTTCTATAAACTGGAAAATCCTCAAGGAAATCCTATAGGCACTCTTTGAAATTCGCCGAGCATTTTCCATAAATAATTTCCAACCTTACAGTGTAATCAGTTTCTAATGTTTTCGTTGGCCAGACGATGTTTTCATCATGCCACAAGCTCTTCCATGGAAGGAAAAGTCAGTGTGCATACGGATTGCAAAATTAGAGGAAGTACACAGCAATTTTTGCTGAGAAAACATTTCTTTCTCAGATCACCTAACTTTTCCTTCACTGTGTTTCCTAAGTCTGATTAAACGTATGACTGAAATTTGATGTCAAAGTGAAAGTAAGAAAGGCTGATGTCTTCTTATTCATTTACCTGTGAGTTTTACTACTAAGGTTAAGTTTGCCGAATGCGAAGCATCGAGCAGTCATGCTTTCTGAAAATGTATATTCTTAGGCATTAGCGCTAGGATCAGCCCAAGCGTCAAAAAACAATCTAGCATCGCCCGATTCATCTAGATTACTAGATTTTTACTCGATTGCAACTATTTGGTAACGACAAGGAAAATCTGGTAATCGGGCGATTGCTAGATTTTTTCTAGTTGCAACTATCGATTTATCGTCCGATAATCGATCGACTAAACTATTGCTAATTACACATGCAGACGCATCTAGTTAAAAGTCCCTTTCCCACTAGTAATCTAGATGGCAACTAGTCGTGTATCGCCCGGTTACAGGCTAAAATCTATCTACATTTTTCCCATAGGTGATGTTTGCTTGATACTGCATTGTTCGAATCACTCTAGCATCCTGTGAGTGCTGTGAAATGACTGATCGATTTTGTGATTATGAGGAATTACAAAGGATTTATTCCTTTTAGATTAATTCTCTCCCTCTCTCAGAAGCTGCTGTACTTATCCTACAACATTCCTTATTTTTTCGAAATAAGTCAGTTTGAAAAGATCGAAAACACACACACTGGAAAAATTCGAAGAGAAATGGTGTTCATGCTAAATCAAGAAAAGAAGTGCGTATGTCTTATATACAGCGGCCATTCTTTCTTTTATCGAAAACATTATTATTTAGTATACTCATAAAGATTAAAAATATGCGCTTGAGGTTAAAATTTGATGCTCTTGGTTTTCTTTAGTCAAGCAAATGAATCAAAAAAAAATGCGTTTGGCATGCGCAAGAAATGTCTTCACGGCATGAGATTGGTACTCAAGAAAGTCATGCACTTGAGATAACATTCCATTCTCAAATTTTGAAAAGCATTCTTTGATGCACTGATTCATGAAAAATCCAAACCTCGATTTTCCAGTGAAAGTCCATTTTCTTCTGTAGTGAATTCTTCAAGACAAAATACGATTTGCGCAGAGCGATTCTTTAGTATACTTTCGGCAAAGGTATACCTTATCGTCCTATAATTTCGATTTTATTTATAAAAACAACTTTTCAATTACTACACATCATGTAAACAACGCGTTACAGTTAACATAGGTTATTGGAACAAAAAAAAAACGCTAGTTCTTCTCTGTTATATGTAGCCAGAAAGAATAGCACAACATAAACGTAGGTGAAAAGTTTTCTAATCGTAACATAATAAAGAAATATTACTGTTTCAGAATAAACAACTAACATGGCTTTTAAGATGAGAACAAAATACAATGCGGCTAGTTAATTCTGTTTACCATAAAAGAGAAGTATTCTGTTTCGAAACTTTTCTACTTTGTTTCAGTAAAAACAAAACCATAATCAAAAATAAAACGTTTTCGTTAAGTAAATACAGTGAATACGTGTTTTTCTTTTTATAAAGTTCATGAACATGTGGAAATAAATTCCACATAGTGAACAAAATTAAGCATTCTTTTAAAAACAATCACATGTTCCTAATCCATCAAGTTCTAAACTACGCAATTAAAACTAAAACAACGAGACAGAAGAAAAAATGACTAGACTTTAATTTACACGTTAAACATGAGATAAAATAAGCAAATTTCAAAGTAGAGAATAGAAGTATTTCAGAGAAAAAACACAGTAATTGATAGCTGCTCAATTCAGAGGGCTAATAAGGCTCCTACTACCACTAGCAGCTGGAAAGTATNCGTCCACGAAGTCGATACCACCGAATGGCACGCCGTCACCTCGTAATCTCAGAACGATATGAAGCGTAGACCCTTCTTTAATACCATAGCTAGCAAGTGAATGCTGGTCTTCGAGCTGATAACCTGCAAACTGATAGCTGTTCAAGTCAGAGGGCTAATAAGGCTCCTACTACCACTAGCAGCTGGAAAGTATCACCCTAGAGCTTGACCCTCGTCTGCAAAAGGGTCTGAGCAGATCACCAAGTCTCTACTTCACTTACCTAAGTTAAATGCGAAGTTGAGTAAATAAAAATGTATTCATTAAGTATATAGGTCAACGAGAAATACAACACACAGATGTTAACAAAATGATAAAGAAAACTCTCTGACACTAAAGTAATATAAATGTGGTATATATATAGTATGTATGTATATATATATGTATGCAGTATGTATGTATATATATGTATGTAGTATATACTAATAGACCAAAAATAACACAGTAGTTAACAATACAGACGACAGGACAGTCTAAAATCTCTCTCTCACGTGGATAAAAGAGAGAGAAAGAAACAAGAACAAAAATGAAAGGAATGTGACTATCTAGCTGACCAGAGAGAAATAAGAAAGGCAGCGACAGTTAGCGACAACACTGGTTTATTGTTGTAGCTAACACCTCCCCCGCTGACTAAGATGTGTCATCCATCTTGCTCCTACTGCCACTGGCAGCTGGAAACGACGGGAGCACACCTCAGTCAGGGAGAAGACGTAACAGTAGAAAACGGAGTACTGTCTTGAAACGGAAAGAATAAAATAGTTTAACAGAATGTTTATAATTCCGGTTCTGGTTGTTGCTTGCCTAACCATTCTGTTAAATTTTCTTCATTAAATGCATCATCTGGTAACTGATGATTGGCGAGATGGGATTCTTCTTGTGTTTTCAAACGTATTTCTAGTTTTCCTTTTTGTGGATTTGGGGTATGGTACGAACTGATGCCATAATGTGTTAAGACAGCTTTTATTAATTTCATACTCCAACCTTTACATATTGTACGTGAAATTGAATTTTCTAGCAGATGTTCTTTTGCTCTTTCATGTCGTTTTCTATTTCGGGCCGTCTTTTGCTCAGCAGTACGTACTGCTTTCGTTTTTTCCTTCGGTGGTTGTTGTTGTTGTTGATCTTTATTGATTTCATTGGAAGATGTTGTAGTTATTGATGGTATGAGTGTTGTTGTTGTTGTATCAATAAGGTTATTAGAATTGACATGATCGTCTAATGTAGAATGATTTAAAGCACTTTGGGGGTGTTCTGTTACTGTTATGGTATGCGAAGTTAAAGATTCACAATGATGAAATAGTGCGTTGAATAATAGATCTTGATATAAAACGTCTATATGAATACCATCACTATTCAGATAATGTAATTGAATTTGTGGATCAATTAAATGCACGTTGAAAGCTTCTGTTAACAATTTCAATGAAGTATTATACTTGCTGATGTTTGATTGAAGATTTTCGAAAGGAAATCGGTTGGTCTGTTTAGCACAAGGAATACAATTTACGATAGCTATTGATTTTATGTTTGGAAAACGAGTACGAATGATGACAATGAATGTTTCGATTTGTGGAATTATTTGATCATATGGAGTTGTTCTTATAGAATTTGTTCCAAGTAGTAGAATTAATGCACATGATGGTGAAAGACGGGAAGACACGGCTGCTGTTGTAAGGGCATCTATTGCTGACATGTTTTCTTGATAATTGTCTACCCATTTCATTCCTGATTGCCATTCAATATCTAACTGGTAATTGCATGATGATGGTAGTCGTTTATGAATGTTTCTTCCATGACTATCGGCTAATAAGAATATATGGGGTTTTTCAATCATTGTTGTTGATGTAGATGTGTGTGAAGTGAAGCAATATTCTGGAGTTTCTAAAAAGAAATACAAATGGGTGGGAGCGAAGACATCGTTGATAGCATAGATAATCATTTCTGCACGTGTAATTTTATCTTCTTCTGTTTCCCATGTTTTTAATTTTTCGTCTAAACCACAAGACCATAAATTGACAGTTAATTCTTTATTTAGTGCTTTATCGAAAGTTGTTTTAATAGCTTTTTCAAGTGACCAGCCGGTTGCTTTTGACTTATATGGTCAATGTTCTGTTGGGCAAATGCACAAATGGTGATCTGCATGTGTGTCTTGTAAACAGTCATTATCACCATCATTTAGATTATCGTTGTTTATATCACATATTAAATCATAATCCTCACAATTTTGTTGTGCTGAATCTAAAAATAATTTATTTTGACGACATGTATCTGTGTGTGGATGTTTTTGATTCCAGCAGTTAGTAAAATATTCTTGCACATTTTTTACATTGGTTATATTTGAAAGTTTAAACAATTGTGTAAACAAGAATAACTAGCTGTGGTTGGTTGGGGTAGAAATTGTGCTTCGATGATAATTACTGTGGCAATTTCTTGGCTATGAATGGCTTGAATTTGTATTAATGCTGGTGTACTGTTTTGTTTTTTATCAGAACTATATCTGTTTAAATTAGCATCTCCTTCTGTATCAATCATATATAATTTAACAGATTTAACTTTTTCGATTAAGTCCTTTAATTGTGCATGATCTGTTAGATAATCAATGAGGACTGGTTCGCCGTAATGGTGTTTTGACCATGTGAATGGTGTTGTAATTGCATTTAATTGATGTTTTGCACGTGCTTTTTCTCCGGCTTTCAGCCATTTCCTTCTCTTTGATTCAGGAATTGACGAAGGGATGTTGTCTTCAGATCGATTTAGGAGATGTTCATGTGGGTGACGAGATGGTTGACGTGACGCATGATACGAACGATTTTGTGATGATGATTGTTGTCGGTACGTATGTCTTTGACCATCTTCGTGCCATTCCACACTGCTACTACTTGCCGTTTCCGGCAGCTGTAAATGTGAACGATTTGAAGATGGTGGACGTTGCACTATTGATGTATAAGTTTGATGCAGTGAATGATGATGATGTGATGATTGAGAATATGAGCGACTATCTTCATGCCATTCCCTGTTATTAACAGCCATTTCTGGCTGCTGTAAATGAGAACAGTGATGTGAGCCTTGGCGTTCGTCATCCCTTTTTGTTGATTGATTTTGTGGATGTTGATTTGATGAAGCTGTTGTTGAAAATGAATTGTATGTTGAACATTTTTGTTGAAAATGAGAATGATGTTTATTATAATTCATGTTTATTTAACTATATAAGATATAAAGCAAACTAACAAAGAATTTAGCGCTAAGTTACCAGCAATCCGTCGCGAGCGGTAGCCAGAAAATTGTAAGTCATTCTCAACTATAACATTGCTTATTTCTAAACTCAATACTTCTACCAGTTCTCTTCCTACCACTTATGTAGTCCCTCGAGCTCAAAGTTTTACATAAGTTCTAGAATAAAGACTAAAATCCCAACGATGTGCCTATTCACTTCATCCGGAAGATTAGAAGATAATCCGTATCATGGTCTATACAATAGATATATGTTAGAATGGAGAATAGATTAAAAATAATGTTAAAGAATGATACTTATCAATTCTACTTAGTAATTAATGTAAATTAAGTGTCGATGAGAATAGGTCGCAAATCTCCAACATGCACTCTTGATTCTACATTTGTTTGTGCATCTTTAACTATATATGTTGGATGATGACAATTTATAATAACTTTCGGTGTAGACGAAAATTTTGGTTGTAATTTATCACCACGTAGGAATATTCTAGTTAGCACTAAATCACCAACCTTGTAATGAGGATCTTGACGATGTAAATCATACCTATTTTTACTTAATTGTTGTTGTTGTATACTGTTTTCTTTAGCCAATTTATGATAAATTTTTAAGGTTCTTTGAAGTTGAATAAAATAATCATTCGGTTTTTGGAATGAAAAATGAACTGATTTTGCATCAATTGGTAATCGTGGCTGTCGTCCGTACAAAAGTTCATATGGGGAATATTTTGTTGTCTTATGTATGCCTGAATTGTAAGCAAATACGACCGCCTGAAGATACTCGCCCCAGTTGTTATCTTCTGCATCTTGCAATTTTGAGATTTGTGGAACAAATGTGCTATTAAATCGTTCAACGATTCCATTAGTTTGCGGGTGGTACGGTGCGCTGAATATGTGGTTGTAGCCGATCAATTTTTGTATATTTTCGAACAGGATGTTTTGAAAATGTGGTCCTTGATCACTTAATATCACGGACGGAATTCCAAATTTACAAAAATAATCATTGAATAATGATTGAGCGGTAGTTTGTGCTGTGCAATCGGGTAGGGCTAAAGCGGTAATGTGCCGGGTGAAATAATCCGTCATCACGAGGAGTTCTTTTGAATGGACCGCAGTAATCAATTCCAATCATTTGAAACGGTCCTTCTGGTGGTGGTATGGGACGAAGATGACCGTGTTTTTTCTGATGACTATAATTATATTGTTGACAGAGAATGCAAGCTTTGATATGTTGTACAATTATATATCTCATTCGGGGCCACCAATATTGAGTTTTAATCTTGTTGTACGTTCTGTCTGTTGAAAAATGACCGCCAGTCATAGGATCATTATGAATGGCATAGAGAAGTGGTTTAATCATTAATTCTGGGAGATAAATTACTTCAATTTTTGTTTTAGAATAACGTGACGGTGAAATTAGTTTATACAGAATGCTGTCTCTTATAACATATGTTATTAAGATTTACGATTATATTTTGAATATTGATATCTTTGTCTTGTTCGTCTCGTAATTTCATAACGTCAAAATGATTTGAAGTGAAATTCGATGGTATTTGTGTATTCGAGAATTTATCGTTTTCAGCGTCAGAGTCGTAGTGATCAGGTGAATTGTTATCTGTCGTCGTTGTTGCTCTAACATTTTGATTTTGATTTTGATTTTTTCGTGGTCTTAGTGTCATTGCCGATAATAAATTTGGATGAGAAGGAGATTGGTCTTCTGCGCTTACTGCCACTGGCAGCTGGAAAGAAGCAGTCTCCTTACTGGCAATGCCATAATCAATATCATTTAATTCATCATCTTGTTCTCTTGGATGTCTCGATAAATAATCTGGAAGGTAATTTTCTCTGCCTTTTATATGAATAACCTGATCGATATTGTATTCTTGGATTAAATTGGCAATTCGGTCAACTCTTACGTTTCTAACTGTTTTATTCATGATGTTGCATAGCGGGCAATGATCGGTCATGACGATAATACTTCTACCGAGTATAAAAGGACGCATTCTCGCGAAGCATTTGTAGATGGCAAGTGCCTCCTGTTCTATGGTACTATAACGTTTTTCACATGGTGTCATGAGTTGGGAATGATAGTATAAATTATGTAGTTGACCGTTTACTTCTTGTTGTAATACTCCGCCTATCCCAGTGGCACTTGCGTCCGTTGTCAGGATTAATGGTTTGTTATCAACAGGGAAGTTAAGAAATAGTGGTTGAGACGTTAATATTTGTTTGAGATTGTTAAATGCTTTTCTTTGTTCTTCTTTCCATTTAAATTTATGTCTCGGCCAGTCCACGTAACGGTAGATTTTTTTGGCGAAGTATGATCACAAAATCAAGCAAAATCAAGATGACTATGTTGTAGAGCGTTGTCGATAGTATATAAAAACCTATTTTTTTCTTACTTTAGT